CTGGGACTGATACGTCATGCACACGTAATTTAATGGGAAAAGGGGGAAATTCGTATTATGTTTGTTGTATTGTCAATTGTTAATTGACAAACATGCCAGTACAAGAAAGCCGTAAAGTTATTTGACTTCATTGAAATTCAATATCTTTTAACATTTGAAGACGTGTAAATGAATTTTTCTAATATGTGAAATAAACTATTACAGTTGCAAGAGAATGTTTAGGGTTCCTATCACTATTCAATTGATGTTTATTATTTATCCATGTTTGGATGGTGAATTACAATTAATTAATATACATGTTATATAAATAATAACATGAAGTACTGAATTTCAATGCTTCGAGTGTACTAGAATTTTCTAGTTGCTCACGGATTTCTGAACTAAATAATTGAGCATAGTTTATTTAAGAATACGCTGCCAAAACTTTAAAAGTTGAAGACAGGACAAATGATAAATCGTGGACACTGCTGCCACGCTAACAAAAGGTTGGAGACCCCTATTCAAAGTATCAGCTAAAAGCCTAAAAGGCTATTTCATAAAAAATAGTGAGAGTATTTTTCAAAAGTCAAAAGCTCCAATTTTCAACATTACCAAGTGTTTCTGAGCCTTATTTTTTGAGACATTGGATCTGTGCGAACTCTTTTTTGAGGAGTACTTGCGAGAACGAGAGGTGGATTGACTCTGGTTTCATTGAAAACCAGTTAAAATAATGAAAGGAAACCGGTTATTCATTTAACCAACGACCTTGTAATACATCCAGACCCGATCACTCCGGTGTGATGCTGGCATCTTGCCTGTTCAGATCAAAACCAATTAAAGTTAGCATTGTATCACATTATGATGCAGGAGCAGGAGACTCATTCAAAGTCTCAATAATTTTCAGCTGCTTTGATTTAGAAGCAATTACGAAGATATCTTGACATTTAATGCACTAAAATTCAAGAATATCAACTTGGAAGAGTTCAGAATCAACGAATGAACGAAATGAGTGATCACTAAGCATGAATAAATAAGCAGAGCAAGGTACGGCCAAGAGTGAAATACCCTGTATTCTTGTGGACAGCATCCAGACAAAAATGACTGAAATATAGCAGCTACAGCTCTTAAACATCCTCAAAATTCTCAATGTATGGAAACCCTGCAAAACAGTAGTTTTCCCAAGATTCTTCCTACTTTTGAATGTATGTCGTACTTTTATGGGGGCGCTTATGGATGTGTAGTTTTTTACCATGCCCAATGTCAGAAGGGCTTATGGATGTGTAGTTTTTTACCATGCCCAATGTCAGAAGGTGGTGATTGTTTTATTAATCAAAATGGTAATATGATGAGAATTTCTAAGTCGTTCATATAATGAACTAATGATAGTGTAATGAAATAAAAGTATCAGTTTTCTTATTGATATGCGATGAAATGAGTATTGGGTATAATTGTCGTTTTCTTTCTAGGGTCCTGATATCAAACAAGGTAGAAAAGAACAAAATTTGAACAGAATTACATGTGATAGGTTAGCAAACCATCAGAATAAGGCAGTGCCTTGAGTGCATGTTTTTAAAGATCTGAGTATAACATGAACCAACAGCATGTTTCAAGACTTCACTGAGTGCAACAATACATGAGTAGATGCTAATGCTAATGACTTGATGATGAAATGGATGCATCATTGATGAAGAAATGGATGCATCGTGCATCCTATCATGCAGTGGGTTTGCATTTGTCAGAGCATAGAGAACAGAATACATCCCCTTCTAGCTACTGGTAGGTCATTGGTGGTGGTGCTCCGTTCATCGCGGGGGAAACACCTGGGTAGTTGGAGTCCTTCCTCTTCCCAAACGGATTCTTTGAATATGTTTCTCAAGGTCAAAGAAAGAATCAAACATCCAAATAAGAATAAATTATTGAAATGTAGACTTCACTATTTAAAAAATGCTTGCTTAGCTGTTTCTTTATTCCATTTTGCTTCTTCTCTTCAAAAGTATGTATGTATGGGGTGGACATGTAGGGAAGAAATGAGGATTGGGCAAAACTAAAAGATAATTTACAAAAAAATATATATATGATTTTTTTTTTTTTTTAAATCAAGAAATGGCATAAAGATCTCGTGCTGAAGCTAGAGAGCTAAGCATCAAAATTGAAGTAGACCTGCGGCGATGAATGAGTAAGAAAAACATAAAAAATGGAATCATGAAAAAGCATCAAAGAAAGGATATTGAATACGCATGCCAACAGAACCAGAACTGGGTATAATGGCACCCTGCAAGCTGTGGTGTACATTGGTGGCACTATTCAGATCCTGCATGATACAACAGAACATCAATGTGCATAATCTAGCAGTATAGAGAGAGAAGCGGCAAAAGGAATTACAAGAAAAAGAGACATCAACCAATTGACAAACAGAATCTTACTTCAAACTCAATGAAGCAAACAGTATGTCTTTCCTGTCTTATAATCTTCATCTGCTTATAACCAGGTTGCCTGCACAGGTAAAAGTACCGTAAATCTCAGGAACTGGACAATACTTAAAATGTGTGTAAAAGTTTGATACAGAATGGTTTGAAATGAGCCATAAAAAACCATACACGCTGAATAGGCCCCTCAGCTCCTCCTCGTTAATATTCTTCCCAAGATTGCCAATAAATAGAGTATTGCAAGGAGGGTTGTCTTTGGTATTCTGCAAGTAATATAAATAACTTGGCTTTCTAATAATCATTCAAAATTAACCCCAGAGGGGGGCCTCAAGAGTATAGGTAATAAAAATATCAAATAAGCAATTGTTACAATAGGCAATTCGATAAGCATCTTACTGTGTTCTTCAATTTTTAACCTCAGGCTACTAGTATCACAAAGATTCAGCAAACACGCATATAAAAAATGAACCAGCTAAATAAGGCTAATCATTTACAGAGACTAATTTTTGGTTGAAGTATACATGTGTGATATCAAGAAAAGTAAAAAATTAATGCATTCACGCTCAAGATGACATCAAACTCTAAGAGAAGCTAAATATTACCAGCACCTTGGCATGAATTCTGCTCCAATATTGGAGTAAATTACCCAAATAGTCGCTGGACTTTGTAAAAGGTTTCCATGGGGCCTCCCACTGAAATTTAAAAATCATCAAATTCATCACTGAACTTTACAAAAGGTTTCTACGAAGTCACTGAATTTTAAAAATCACCTAATTCTTGGTGACCCCTTGGAAACCTTTTGCAAAGTTCAGTAACACCGTGGAAATATTTTGCAAAGTTCAATGATCAATGAGGCGATTTTTAAAGTTCAGTGACCCAGTGGAAATCTTTTGCAAAGTTCAGTGACCCTGTGAAAACTTTTTGCAAATTTCAATGACCATTTCTGTAATTCACTCTCAATATTAAGACAACATTTTGTCATGACATTGTTTAAATTTAATTTATAGTAAGCTGCATAGGGTTTTCTTAGTTTGAAATAAAAAAGGAGCAAATTAGAGCACATGGTCAGTCATCTGATAGACCACGGACTCATGCAAGGCGGAGGAAAATAGCAGGGGCAAGGAAGGAAATCAAATTGGATAATTCACCCACAACAAGCACATGCACTTAACAGAAATAGTGGCAGATTTGTTGAGCATCACATAACCCATGGCTATATAGAGAGGAAAATAGGGGGAAAAGGAGGGAAAAGATTGAGCAAGAACTAGTGGAGAGAATTGGACCTCTCGAATGTCCGAATACCCTTGTTTTATTTCATTGTTGCTGAATACCATTTACATAGAAGTAGATACTGTGTTTTCTGCGTATTTACAGTTTCCTACAATTACGGTAATATAAAATCTTCAATTACATCATCTTGTGTTGGTCTTTGCTTTCCTGTGTTCTATTCTTCTGTAGAAATCAGCCATCATAGCAGGATCCTATCAACTGGTATCAGAGCCTTCGATTCACGGACAAAGAGAAACTATGTTCAGCAGATAAGTACAAGAGAGTTTAAACTTGGTAATGAGTATGTTGGAGAAGAGGTTAAGGCGACAAGAAGGAGATCGAAACGATGATTCAGGGTTGGATTCATGCGACTGACTCAACACATCATTATTCTATGGGGACAATTTAGATTCGCGGCTGATCGAGGCGGAGCGATGCCTAGACAAGAATCGCGGCTTACCAGAGATGAAAAAAGTAGAAGCTGCAGTTGCTTGCTTTTATGGAGAGGTTTGGGCATGGTTCCAAGAGATAGACGATAGCTGTCCAATAGAGACCTGGTTAGAATTGAAAGTGAGGATGAAGGTTCGATTTCCCATGAAGCAAATCTCCGTTGGTGAATTTTCAGATTGGAAGCAAAGGAATGAGTTGAACTGGGAGATAGCACGGGAAGAACAGCCCGGTAAAGTGCATGTGTCCCCCTCGCCATCACCGGTGGAGGAAAAATTCCATTGCACAAAGGAAATGTCATCACCGGAGGAGATGCCAGAGCTCGATGAGGAGGGGAGGAATTTCTTTGGTAATGGGCTGAAACTGGAGAATATGAATCTGGACAGTAGAAACAAAAAGGAATTGCTGAAGCAGATAGGGTTGGACTACGGCATGGAGTTGGCCCAACATGTGGAGAATGAGTTAATAAGGCAGGCCCAAATGAATTACAATAGCCCAAATTACTTAAATCCAGCTTCTAGCCCACTTATACACTCTTATCTAGCCCCCTTTTTATACTCAATTAACCTACATAATCCACCCTAAAAACCATCACATTATTCTGGTTTGTACCCCCGATTTGTTGCAATTGGGAAAACGATTATATCACCGGTGGAGAGAGAAGATTACAATCGAGCATCATGCAGAAGATGCACACAGCTTTCTAGAAATTTCGGTCAAAATCAACAAAGCAGGAGAGAGCACAGTCACTTCACCGGAGCCCACCTTTAATTTTGAAATCCCACCAAAAATTAAAGAAATCTAGGTGAGTAAGGAAGATCGGAATCACAGGGAGGAATTAGGGAAAGCAGGAGCACGAAGTTGACTTGAGTTGTCAATTTTTGAGATACTTACAGCTCGATTGCGGCAAATTCTGAAGCGATGATGGAAGACGCTGTGATTAATGGGCTGAAAAAGGAGAAGAGGCTGATTTGGATGAATCGGGAGGGGAGAGAGACCACGATGATGAAGAAACAGGAAGAAATTGGGCTTACAATTAGGGCTAGAGTTCATATAAAAAGTCCAGTGGGCTTGGTTATGAAATTGGACCAAATGGGAGAAGAATCGAAGGACTTCCTGAAGCAAGCCCAACTCAATTTTGGCCCAAACAAGCTTTCTCAAAATCCAACTAACTCTTTCCCAGACCACGCAAATCAACCAACAACTCAATTGAACCCCAGAAATCCTACTACCACAGATTGTTCGCTGACGACGGGAAAGGAAGGGCTACACTTTAAGGAGTTTACCTTTGCTAAGCTTCAGATGAAAAGAGAGAAAGGGTTGTACTATTGTTGTGATGTGAAGTACAATCGCAATAAAGAGTTGCAGATCATGGTGGTTCAAGAGGAGGGGAATGAGCAATCAGAAAATAGAGAAGTGAAAGAAGATACTGTCGGCTATACACTTATTTCGATGAGTCAAAATAAAAAAATTGGACAATTTGTGGGTAGGGGCAACGGGCTATGGAGTTGCCTTGAATACTATACTTGTGATACTTGTGCAATTGAGCAAGTCCTTCCACTTCTACGTGGTGACCATGATGAGAGTATTTGTAAAAGAAATATCGTGGCTGTGTGACGAATTGATTGCCTCCACCTTGAGGACGAGGTGGATTTTGGGGCGGCGAGTAATGATAGACCACCGACTCATGCAAGGCAGGGGAAAATAGCAGGGGCAAGGAAGGAAATCAAATTGGATAATTCACCCACAGCAAGCACATGCACTTAACAGAAACAGTTGGCAAATTTGTTGAGCATCACATGACCCATGGCTATATAGAGAGAGGAAAATAGGGGGAAAAGGAGGAAAAAGATTGAGCAGGAACTAGTGGAGAGAATTGGACCTCTCGAATGTCCAAATACCCTTGTTTTATTTCATTGTTGCTGAATACCATTTACATAGAAGTAGATACTGTGTTTTCTGCGTATTTACAGTTTCCTACAATTACGGTAATATAAAATCTTCAATTAAATCATCTTGTGTTGGTCTTTGCTTTCCCGTGTTCTATTCTTCTGTAGAAATCAGCCATCAGAGCAAGATCCTATCATCATCACATATTGTGTGGACAAGTTCTTAGCACGCAGTCCAATGGTTCTATAGAAATTTTGAACGACTTCAATAAAATAAAAAGGAATGAATAACTTATTTATAGGGAAATACAGTGCTTAATGCAAGAAATGTTGCCCTTTATATCTTACTATCTTAAGTTAATGCTTTCACATATGCAGCTAAAAAAATTTCACTCGTTAAACACAGAGAGTTTTAGACAATAAATAGTTGAGGAGTGATTACTTCAAATATGGCAACAAAAGTCACTGCATAATAATAGACAAACTTCGAGATAACATCTGCAAAAGACCAATAAGAATCAATCTGCCTATATAAGACTACAGTGCACAAATGCCAACAAGAAATTTTGTATTTCCTAAAGGATTTTTATTTTTTTTAATGAAATGACAATACTGAATGGAAGCTTTCACGTTGCCAGCCGTGCTTGCTGAAAAAACGTGAACTCAAGTTTCTAGAGATGCCAAAAAAAATGTGAAAACCATCAAACACTGAATGGATAGCCAATTAGTAAAATTATGAGCAAACTTCAAATTTGCTCTATACTTGGCTAAGAACTGGAGATACAATCTGAACACGAGAAAAAGGGAAAGGAATAAACACAAATAGGCAATCAACAAGATTCCAAAACAAAAGGAGCAACCACAAGCACATATAGAATATTCACCTGAATAGGTGCGTAACTGCTTGGTGCTGGTCGAGGAGCTGGAGCAGGCATCGGCACTGGAGGAACGGTGTAAACCCCATATGGATCATAAGGAGGAGGTGCTGGTGCCATATACCTAAGCCAGATAGTCATCTCCATTAGTTAAAGTAACAGTTGAGTCTGTTATTTCAATCTGACAACTTCACTAATATGATAAACAATCCTTTTGCATATGATATATTTTTGAATCCAACTTACCCATGAGGTGCCCAAACAGGCGCAGTAGGAGGATGGAAAGGAGATGGACTTGAATAGCCAGTATGTGTATAATCATCGCCAGTTCGCATCCGTTTACTTTGGTCATAAGTATTTGAATCAGAAACTATTCCTGTAAGACAAGATATATAGGCAATATCTAGTGAAATAAATTAAAAGCCAAACTGTCATAGATAGATATGTTAACTAACAGGGTAGCATGGACTGTATATGAAAACTCATGTAACAGGTGTGATATCGACCAGGGTGTTTGGCAAGCATCGTAATTACTAATTACTAGGTCAGGAGTTTAAATAACCAGATTGCATAACTCATACTCATTTACGTTGAAAAGGATGTTACATTAGAGGAGGAGTTTGTTACAGTAATACATCCAAAAATAAATGCAAAGAGAATGGAGACATAAATGACACAAAAGCTAGTCCTCTATTATTTAATCCATATGGTTAACGGTAGTTCCGGTTCCCTTTCGGTGAAGGTGTCAACTTTGACACAGACAAAAGGATCCATACTTCAATCGTCAACAACTGTTCACTTATGTCATTTCACTGAATTTAACAAAAAGTAGAAGTGGAGAAAAGCCAAATCTATGTACAACTAAATTATTTTGAACAGTCAAGTTACCGGCAAAAGAATGTTGTTCAATATAAGCTAAAGGCCTCAAGAAGACCTCATGAAAACATCATCTTTTAAACGCAGTTCAAGTAAAAAAAAAAAAATATATGTAACGACCCGGCCTCTGTTCCCAAGTTGTTATATTATATTTTGCCCAATTGATACCAGAATTCAACTTAAGTTCGCATAAGACAAAGGTCTTGGGTTTGAATCATGGAGGATGCGATAGAAATTCATGGGGGGATAAGATGAGCTTGAACTTTTTTAAAGTGAACAATACATAAATTAATAGCTTGGACATAGAGTCTTGGATCGCTACAAAAAAAATGTGCATTTTTTGTAATGACTGGAACCTCATGATCGAGTGATTATATCTCAGCTTTGAAAGAGCATAAGCCAATTTTACCTCTAGCCCAATTGGTAGTACTATGATTCAATTTAAGTCTTTCATGAGGTAAATGTCTTAAGTTTGTATCCTGAAAGACGTGACAAAAAGTCGTGAGAGGTAAGATGTACTTAGATTTTTCTAGAGTGGACAATACATATAATATAACAGCTCGGGCACAAGGCTCAGGTTGTTACACCAAATAAACCTGAACATATTAAGTTCAATAAGACTTGGTTAATCAGAGGCCGACTTTGTCCAATACCGCAAACTTATCAATATTCATGAAAAAACTAGTTGGTCATTTTCTAACTTCAAAAGTTCTCCACAAGTAACATACCACTAAATCAACACTTCTCTTAATGAAGTAAGTCTCTACTCAAAAAAAAAGAACAATTTTGCTCCCATGTTTCGAAATGGGTGAGCATGACTCTGTGCTAATCCTACATTTTCAGGAATTTTCATGATGACCAGCACATATCTTAGTAGGTTTGAAACACGTTCTTTCGAAACTTATTCCTTATTTCAATTCAAATATTCGCCGAGAAAGAAATAGACAATAACTGTTGACTGTTGCCCGTAGCTTATTTTCTCTCTTGGCTACATAAAAGCTAGTGACTTGTGACTTCTATATTTCATTTCAAAAACACCTTCTCTTTTAGTTCCTTTCCTCCCATTTTCAAGGTTAACCTCGCCAGGCCAGCTAATAATAACAGAAAGCATAAACATTCAGCGAATATTTCACAGCTTTATCAATTTTGAGCAGTCAGACTCATGAGATATACCCAATGTATTTAAAAATATAATTCGAAAAAAAAGAAAACTAAATGAAGTTCACCCCTTTTTACGAAAAGATTCTTCTTTGCCATCTCAGTGTGCAATACTGATTTTGACTCCGTATCAAAAACCATATCCTAAACCACAGAAAAATTAGGAAAAAAAAAAATTATGCCTCCAAAACATCCAAAAAGGGATCCAATTGAAAGACCCCAAAATATTAAGAGCATAAAAGATGACCTGAAGGGCATCCTTGGCAGCAAGAGCATGCTGCGCAGTAGCAAAAAGTGCGAAACCCATCGGATGTTCTCCTTTAAAATTAACCTGAGAAGCCTCATACCCCGGCAACCACCTCAACAAATTCTGCAACTCTCTCTCCTTCGCGTCCTCCGGTAATCCCGATATAAATATAGTCCGTACCTTTAAATCCGATACATGAATCATTAACTCATCATCGCAATTATAAATGAATCATTCGCATTTGATATTTACACTAACATTATAACAAATAAACGAATGAAAGTAGGGCGTTTTTACCTCGTCTAACGGTGAGAGGATGGGCGGAGGGTGAGGGTGTGAATGGGAAGGTGAAGCGGCGGGAGGAGGCGGAAGGCCCGGGGCCGGCATCCATTGCCGGTGGTAAGGGTGCATTCCTGTGCCAGCCATCTTGGCAAACCAACTAGTATTCGCAAGAGTGGCGTGAGGGCAGGCTTAGGGTGATTGGGAACAGGGTAGGACGAGCATGTTTGTTACAATTTGTACGTCTTTAAGTTTTCAATTTTCAATTTTGGGTTTATTTTTAATTTTCTATTTTCTGAGTCAATTTTGTAATTGTTAAAAATGTGTTTAATTTGTCATTTTAAAAAATTATTTTTTAGAATAAAAAATAGAAAATATATTTGGTTGGAAATTTTAAAAAATTATTTTATGTAATTTTATTTCATTATATTTTAGTAATCAGTAAAAATATAACAATTTTATATTAATATATTATCAAATAATATATTTTGAAGTTGGTGAACTTTACAATATTTTTCTTACTATAAAAATAAAATAAATAATAAATTGGGTTCAAAATTTGGGAAATAAAAATTAATGACGTGAATTGCTAATAATTTTAATATTTTTTAGAATTTTTATGTAAATCAATGTTTTAAAAACCGATCCGGTCATAGACCTGAAAAGTTAAAGGGTTAAGGTTTGAAAGATTCAACCGGGGTCGATCCACTAATAATTAATATATAAATTTATCAAAATAATTTGATAATAGCAATAAGAAAATAAAAACATAAGAGCACGACATTATAATCAAAATAAGAACACAACAATATAATCATAATCAAACCTTTTTTCATCCTTCTTTCCACAGATTTCTCTTGAAATTCACTTCACGAGACTTGATTAGATTTTTACTGGGATTAGACACTAAAAAAAATCTGCAGATTAATAAGAAAAGTAAACAAAATTGATTCTTGAACTAGTCGAGTTATATAATTCACAGTGAATAGAGGCAATTAATTAAAGCAATGCAAAGACTTTTGGCTCCTCCGGTGGCACCTTGGCTAAGTGGAGAAGATAATAAACCAATGATGTCAAAATCGAACTGGGCAGGCCGATCCGATCGGAAAAATCATGAACCGATACAAATATCGGTTCAATTAATGCCTAAAAACCCGATATTTAAAAACCGGATAAAAACCAACCAATTTGTCGGTCTAACCGCAAAATCGGTTGACATGTAACCAGTTTTACCTATTTTGGCATTTGCATCTTTCCTAAAAAATAAAAAAATAACAATAATAAAAACCATCTTTGTTAGGCCCAAGTCTTAAAGCCTAAACAGTAGACCTCTCTTATAGTGACCAACCCATTTCATAATTGGCTTCTCTAGTACTTCAATTCAAGGAAACCGATGTGGGATTGGGAGTGAGTAGGTTTATTACAATGTTTTGAAAATCAACCCGTTGATTGGATTGTTGCATTAGATAACTATTGCAACTATAAAGTTTGAAGATGGGGAGGGGTTGAGTAGGGTGGGGCGATGTCGTGTTTTTGGCTCCCTACCCCACCTTGCAACCAAATGGTTTTTGTTGCACTGGGCAAATCATTCTTGGCTATTTATTTTATAATGAAAAATATGTTAAATACGTCTGACGGTCATACTTCAAAACAACTTTTTCAGGGCTATTCCTGCTGGGAATCTACTTAACATGTGCAGCGAAAATTAAAATAGATTTCGATTCCCACCAAAAATCTCTTTGTGTTTAGATAAAAATTGTGAAAAGATTGTACATTTTTCAGATCTGCAAACTTCTTTGTTATTCTTTTCGTTCCAACAATCTTGATTCGCTACCCATAGCTGTCCAATTGTCCAACCTCCAATGGTAACCCACACAGAGAACAGATTGCAGTTACTAAGTTTTCTCCTCTTGTGCTAACAAGAAATTATGAGAAAATTATATGGATTGAAAACCCTAGCTATGTATTTATATAAGCCCAAACGGGTCTGACCTAGTCTGGTCCAATATTTAATTAATTCATTTAATTAAATTCGATTTGTGAATTAATTAATTCGGGCATATAAATAACAAACCCAATTAATTAATTTATCCAATGATTATTAAATTAATTAATTGGCAAATTGCAATCTTCCAATTCTCTTTTGTGTGCGACCCATCAGGTTCCCGATCATGATACCCAACGACGTTAAATATTATTTTGATCTAATCAAAATTAATAAATTAAAACATCCTTTTAATTTATCACTAATTCACACTCGTCATCCCAAATTGACATCTAATAATGTGTCAGGGCAATACATATGACGGGGAATGTCATGTGGTATGACAAAATCAAACTCGTTCGTTTACCGTGAAACTATAATCCCTTCATCAATATGATCCGATCAATTACGAGATATGGAAGTGTGTCAATCCCGAGTATCGATCATAACTTTCACTCTACTATTAAGTCAATATAATTCGAAAACTCCTTTTCGACTTATGAGTACATCTTGGCTAAGGATTTCGTTATCGACTTAATTGAATAAAACGCAAATCATAATCTCCTATTATCTAAAAGTGACGAATCATTTATTGGTCATTCACAACCTTCATACGATTCTTAACATACCCAAACGATGACATATTAGCGGACCTTGACAGAGCAACATCCAATATCGTCAAAGTATGACTGTTATCATTTAAGATACTATGATGACCTCAAATCAAAGGACCAATCCCACTACCGAACATTAGAGATTAACCACTAACACTCAGATAGTTATCCATGTGGAATCTCTTGGTGGATCTCCAATATTTTGTTCTATAACAAAACATCCACGTGTTCATTTAAGTGTCACCACGCTTTAATTTATGAGATCAGTTGCATACTTCACAAGTAAGAAATGTCACACGCGATGGTCTATCCGTAATAACGATATTTGTATCTCGTTATTACTTACGACCACGGACGATTTAAGATTCAATCATATATAATTTGTATCTCACAATCACAACTCTTTGTGATTAATAAATTACGAAGATTTGAATTTACGGATTCTATTATTTATTTAATTGTCTGTTAATTAAATAATAGATCTATCATTAGATTACATTAATTATATATCAAAAGTATTTATGTCCAAGGTTGATTGGACTTAGGGCATAAAACTTACAATCCCAACGGTTGAGATACGTTGTTGATAAAAGCCTTTAAAAAGTCAGACCACCATCTAACATCCATGATTCAGAGAAGGCAGTTCCTGAAGTGGAAATTTGTACGAAAAAGTGATGTGTAGATCTACGTGTTGTCAAGAAAAGAAGCTAAAAAGTCAATCCTTTGAACATCAATGCTTGAGATGGCACTGCGTGTAGTAAAAACTAATAAAGATAGTATGTGTTGTGTGTGTTTTGTTGTCTGAAAATCAAGATTTCTAGTTTGTGGTGTAATTCGAAATCCATATTTGTGGACAGTGTTTTGTGTATTATATGTATTGTATGACAGTTATGCACGAAGAAGGACATGAAAATGGAAAATGGCATGTGATACAACGAGTGAAAACGGTATTTTTAAGGAACAGTAGACACGGAGTTTATTGTTATTTTATAGATTATTATTGTTTTTTATAAATTCAATGTTTTAAAAGCCATTTAACGTAAATTCCAAATCCAAATCTCTTGTGTATATCTCAATAATAATATCTTTCATCATATTAGGTGACAATGAGTCCTCTAGTTTATGGTTCAATGGAGCTGTGATACACTTTAATACATTGGACAATGAAATGAAGGACACATTGTCACCAAATCGGGGATACAATTATCTTTTCTTTAGGGCTTGAAACAATTTTTAACAAATGTTGGTGATAAATTTAGAAGAGGTAGTCATAATTTATCAATATTTATGATGAAAGGAAGGTAGTTACTAATATAATTCTACCTTTATAAGAATTTTTAATCATACAATTTTCCATTCAATTTTCATAATTTGGCTGAAGAAAATTAAAGATAGTTTAAATAGAACGCGTTGGGTTGAATTTAGGGGTATGTATGTTTTTTTTTCTCGAAATTAGTCAAACCAAACTGAAATTGAACTAAGCAGTTTGATTCCATTAAATTTTAACCAGTTTTGGTTATTAAAATTGAGAACTAAATGCTTTCGTATGATACTTTTACCAGTTTTACTCTTGGCAATTTCTTATTATGTGCTCACGTGACGTATAATTAAGAATTCCTCACTGGGCTCTAGAAAGTGTCGACTAGGTATTTCCCTGTCAATCGATAACAAAACTCCGGCGGTTAGTATGGTCAATAGAGATACCGGGACGAGTTCTAAACTTGCACTGATTCTTCAGGATTAAAATTAAAAAAAAAAATTCTATCTATTCCTTTTGGCAAACGCTAGTTGTTTATATCTTAAAACTTCCTTTCATATCTTAGACCACCATTTGTAGTAGTAAAACATTTTACATCAAGAAGCCCTCCAGGGCGTAGTCCAGTGGTGTAAAGGACAGGGGTGAAATTATTTCACGCTTTGCTGGCAATCGCAGTGTAAGGGTTCGATTCCTAAGACATGGAATTGGACTCTTTGTAGGCGCAGTATACATGCAGCTCTTGTTCCTTGACCTGCTAGATCACATCCCGCAATTTACCTCCCTCACAAAACTCTTGGGGCGGGACAGTGGGGCCCTCAAGATTGGGGTTCAACCATTTTTTTATTTTTTATTTAGACATTATACGTCAAGAAACTGATCTAGTAAATATAGAACAAAGTGTTGGCAACTTTCCAAATGACTCTTCCGACTGACTTTCCATGATGACATTCTTAGAGTAGCATATCAAAAACTACTCTCTTTTATCACATCTGGAATTTATTTATTTATTATTATTAGTTCTTTTTTTTTTTTTTGGGTTTTGATGACGCATATATGTAGACTTTGTCATCATGGGTGGATCCAGGGACGGGCTGGGCCGTGCTACAACCCGTCCCTTCGGCCCAAATGTCCATTAAAAAAAATTAAGTAAAATATATATATATTTTTATGTGCAATATTTTTTTTTTATACGTATTAGCCCGTATTGAATTTTTTTCTGGATCCGTCACTGACTGTCTTGATATTGCTTAGAGAGTTAACATCTTCCAGAAATTATTCAAATCAATAAGAGTACCATGTGCTAAAGGAATAGGTATCATTGAGCGAGGGAACATTTTTCTAGCAAAACATTCAAATCAAATGAAATTCGCAAT